CATTGTTTCCTTGGTGTCTTCCATCCCTACTGGTTCTTAGTCTTTTTGATCCCTCTTCTACAAAGGCCTGGGGGAAGATGTTCAAAGGAGAGATTTTGGATGGAGATGTTTCATTTAGGATTGGGTGTTCCAAGGTCTCTCACTCCGCCCATTATCCAGTGTGGGTTTCTATATTTGTTTCCATCTATTGCAGGTATAAACCTCTGTAATGATGACTGAGCAAGACAGTCATCTAGGGGTATAGCAGAACGTCATTAGGAGTTATTTTGGCAAATTGCTTGAGCAGAACAATTGAATTTAGTTTTTCTCTAGGTCCATGGCCTATCTAGTCCCAGGTTCTTGGCCACCTGAGCAGTGTTAAGCATGGGTTTCCCTTGATGGAGTGGGCCCTAAATCCAATCAGAGAATGCTTAGTTACTCCCACAACTTTTTTGTCCTGACGGCACCAGCAGACAGGAGACTCTCTGTTGAAGACCACTGGTTTTGTAGTTGGGTTGGTTATTTACCTTTTTCCTCTCATAGTGTTTGCACATTTCCCGTCATTTTTCATTAATGCTGACTTCATGGATTATTATGTCACTTTCTCCCCCAGTAGTGGAGCAGAGAGTTAGAGTTCAAGGTAACAGGGCTGAGAAACCCAGCAGACTCTGGAAGTTTTCCTTTGGTCTCCAGTTTTTTTTTTCATTCTCTCATCCACAGATGTTCCTGAGATTCTATCTTTGCTTAAACCGCAGTCCTTCAGTTTTCCTTTGCCCGCTGTTAGTTTAGCTACTTTTTGCTTCTCCTTAACATTGGAACTTTTTCCAAAGTTAATTGGGTGTTGGCATTACTGAGAAGTTAGGAGAAAATACCTAAGAAAGATATAATGCCAGAGAGATTGGGACATAGTTCAGTTGTAGAGTGCCTAACTTGTGTGAAGCCCGGGATTTACTGCCAGAACTTATAAAGGCAAGGTTTTGTGAGACAGTGAGAATTTTCTTGGGCCCTATATGTCTTTCTGAGTTGTCTAAAACACAACACAACAACAAAACAAAACAAAATGCATGCATGAGGGATTAGAGGTCAGAAGTGGGAGAGGCCCAGCTAGAACACTGTGCCAAGAAGTTTTATCCTCTGTGGTTTTCAGTCTATGAAAATGACAATATTGGTGTTGAATAGGGATGGGTCAGGATCGTATTTACATGTTTTCGGGGTTGTATCACCTTTACTTCAATATACTTCAGTTTGTCGGCCCCTGCTTGCATGGCACCTTCTGAAGTCCTTGGAGATACCAACAGTGAGCTTACTGACCAACTGTTTTGGAAAAATTTCTGAAAGAATGACAGTTTAGTTGCAAGAGTCTCTTTATGCTATAACACATCCCCATTCTCAGGCAGTGGGCATTTCTGGAAACTGGCTACAAGGCAGTGCAGGACAACTCAGGCCGCATGCTAAGGCAGTCTTCAGTTGTACTGGACAGAGCTAAGTGTGACGGTAAAGATTAAAAAAGAGAAAGTTGAAGTGGGTACCTTTTGGCGGGCCCTGCCAAGGTGTGCCACTAAGCAACAGAGCTGGGGCAAGAGGTTTATTGGGGGAGGAGAAACATGGAGGGGGAGTGGAGGAGGGGAAGGTGAAAGAGTGAAAGGCCATGAGGGAGTGGTGACATGAGGGAGGTAGGCAGACACAGAGAGAGACCAGAGATGAGAGAGCAAGCTGTGCTCTGGTGGGCACTTTTAAAGGGGGGGGGCACATGTGTCATAGCTGCGGATGGAAGGGCGTCTGGCAACAGGTGGTGATGTAGCTGCTTTGGCAGCTGAGGCAGGATGCAGCAGAAACTAACAGTGATGGTGAGTTTTGGTCAACTTGACACAAACTAGGGTCATCTGGAAAGAGGGAACCTCAACTGAGCAATTGCCTCCACCAGACTGGCCTGTAGACGAGTCTGTAGGACACTTTCTTGATTGATGATTAATGTTGGAAAGCCCAACTCATTGCACAAGGTGCTGCCTCTGGGCTGGTGCTCCTGAGTTATAGAAGACAGCAGGCTGAGCAAGTCATAGAGGGCAAATCACTAAGCAGTGTTCCTCTGTTGCCTCTGCTTCAGTTTCTGTCTCCAGGTTCTTGCCTTGGCTCCCCTTGATGGTGGACAGTAAAGTACAAGGTGACAGAACCCTTCCTTCCCTCAACTTGCTTTTCTGTCATTCTGTTTATCACAGCAATAGGAAAACAAATTCAAACACTAAGTTATTGCTATAGCCACTTGGGGGACCTCATTGATGTCTGGTAATATTCTTTGTGTCCGTGGTATGCATCCACCAAAAGTTATAATACATCTGTCAGGACAAAGGTCAACCTGTTAGGAATGTGTATCAGTGACTTAGTCTTTACATTGGAAGGAAAGCTCTGAACTCTATAGACGTCGCACTGGGACCTCTACCTGGAACAAGGCCAGACTGAACCAAACAGCTATTATTAAAAAGCTGTTACTTGGGTTAGAGATGAAGATCTGAAAGCAGTTAGTAAGGAAACTAGTTAGTGGCAATGGGACAGAAATGTCAAAATACGAGAAAAGTGTGGAAAGCCAATTTACAGCACTTGGCAATGACTCTGGCACGGAAACCTATTCAGGGTGACAGAATATTAGACTGTCAAGGATGAAAGGAATTTGAAGCTTGTCCTGTGTCCTCCCCTCCCCTCCCCTTCCTTTCCGTCTGTCCCTTCCTGCCCACAACAAGTAGGGGAAGACACATTGGTCTATGGAGCACCAAGGGTTTTAGGAGTAACAAAAGTTACTTTATAACAAAAGTTATAGTTTTATAGAATTCGTTGTTTTTTAATCTCTGGAGGTCACCAATAGTCTTTTTCTCCCTTCATTTTCTAGTCCTGAGGCATTTATGCTACAGTAATTTCCTGGCAGCATTTGGAGCTTCTGGGATGTGAAAGGAAGGAACAGAACTTCCGCCCCAGAGACATTGCCCCAGAGACTCCGGGTGCAGGCGTGCTGGGGCTTGGAGCTGGCCTCTGAATGAGGGACCGTGCTCATTTGCGTCTCTGTGTTCCTTCACAATGTCTACTGTTCCCCAGTACGAGAGCTTGTTCCTCTGATGGAGTCCCCCCTAAATTCCACCTCCCTCTCCGGAAGTCTGCAGCACCTTCCCCAGGGCTCAGTGGGTCTCCAGGCACCGAGGAGGCCCTAATGAAGATGAGTCAGCGCTGATTCCCCATCTGGTGAACGCACGGCTCATTTACCTCTGGTGGTTTTGAGCAAACCCAAAGTGCTTCGTGGCTGGGTTGAAAGTCTGCGGTGACTTTTTAGTTTCTATATATGAACTTGAAACTAAGGGAGAACGTTCTCAACAAGTAAGCTACTTATCTCTGAAGCCAATTTTCTTCAAGGAAAAGCAGCAGAACAATGGCAGCCTCCTGCAGTTCCCACTGGTGACCATGGTGCTGAGCGAGCAAGACTTTTGGCCTGTCTTGCCTCTAAGCTCTCCGTGGTGTTGCAAATAGCTGGGGGAAAAAAAAAACCTAAAACAAAACAAAACAAAAAAAAAACTGAACACATTATTTCTAGAAATTTTGACACAAGTAAAAATAGCTAGTTTGGATAATTTATGCTTTATAATGAGGCATTCAATGGAGAATACTAAAATGTTGTAGCCAATGACAGTCCAGTGGGAAACTTCATGATTCTGGTGATGAAAGGTGAAGGGCTGTCATTATGCCAGTCATAAATTTTATCCTGATCTCCTCTTATCCCTTTGACCTGTTCCCCTCCACCATAACGTTTCTTTCTTTGTAATGTTCCCTGCCATAGTGTGCCTTCTATTGCTGTGATAAACACCATGAACAAAAACTGTTTGGGGAGGAAAGAGTTAATTTTGCTTATATGCCCTAGATCACAGTCCATCATGGAGAGAAGTCAAGGAAAGAACCTGCAGGCAGAAACCGAAGCATAGACTATGGAGAGAAGCTACTTACTAGCTTGCTTGCTATGGTTTCTTAGCTTGCTTTCTTGGACAGCCCAGGACCACCTGCTCAAGGATGGTATCACCACAGTGGGCTGGGCCCTCCTGTCAATCTTTAATCAAGAAAGTGTCCCCACAGTCTTACCAACCACTCAGTCTGAGTCAATCTGATATCAGCGTTTACTCAGTTGAGGGTCCTTCTGCCCAGATGACCCTGGCTTGTGTCAAGTTGAAAACTAAACAAACAAACAAGACCAAAACCACATCATAGAATTTATTATAACTATCATTTATTATCTGTCATGTGTACTATGTCATAAACAGAGATGGATATGCCTATGTCTATCCATAATGTCAGAGTTTATTGAATAATACATTTATAACATTGGCGTATTTGGTAGCAGTTTGCCAACAACTCTTAATAGCTGCTCAAAGCAAGCACAGGTTTGGTCAAAGCAAGCAATTTTTTTTTTTAAATCTTAATCTTAGTTACTAATACTAACTCCTATGTTCTACATTTTACATCACATTATAAATATCCACCTATCTATCATCTGTGCCTTTATGTAACTTATAGAAGATGAGTGGAAAGAGAAGTTTCTTCTCCCGGTTACGCCAGCCTCTCTGAGCTCCCACCACAGACAAGTTTTAGCAGGAGAGTGAAATGAGATTAGCACCTGACTACGACTCACTGTAAAGAAGACATTTTTGGGACAGGTGTTATTTTAGAGTCAAGTTTTCTGCGATGTCCACAACCATACTGTGTGGTTTAGTAAATCTTTAGTTATTTACTGAGCACCCTTTCTGTTCCAGGTACCGCATTAAGAGGCTGGAGATTGTGAATGTACAAAGTCCTTACTTTTGCAAGCTGAACAAAATGAGTATTTGCTGGATTTGCCCTCCTATGTTTCTTCTCTGAGTAAAGCTGAGTTAAACCTAAGCGGGCAGTGTGAACAGCTTAGGACGTTCTTTACATTCGTCTCTTTTCCAGGGCAGAACACAGAAAATGTCAAGGCTCACGCTGACTTTTTCTGTTTATCTGTTTTATTTTAGGGGTGTGATGAAAGTTGATATAAGTCTCCAGAAAGTGGACATTGACCAATGCTCGAGTGACGGCTGGTTTTCAGGGACTCACAAATGCCCTCTTAACAACTCAGAGGTAAGAACACAAGGATTAGATCTTCCGAAATCGGAGGCAAAGGCGTGGATGGCTCTCGCACATGCTTCATTTGCGTGGGTGAATGACCCTGCGCATCCGAATGAGAAGGAAAGAATCCAGACACATCTCACTCCTGTCAAATAAACTGAAAGAGGGGAGAAAATAACATTTTTGCAGAGAAACTGTTTTGGGGACCCTTAAGACAAGGCCAAGAGTAAGGTTGTGGCTGAAATTTGACTTTGATTAAAGGATGATTTAATTCTTTAGAACAAGCTAGAAATGTACAACAATCAAGAAATGAGGAAACAGCCCCAGTGGGACCAAACAGAGCAAACATCTTTTCATGCATGGTGATGCTCATTGTCACATTTGTGGGATCAGAGCAGGTACGGCAGGGTAGTCTGGAAAACAAGGAGAAACGTATCTGCAGGGACCTGGAAAGGGATTGTTTACAGCTGTGTGCATTTTCTTCCTTTCCACCCCCACCGGGTTTGACTGGGTGGGATTCTGGCTGATAAAGAACAGAGATCACACTTCTGCGAAAGACCCGTCTTTTTTGTTCAGGAAGCAACAGCAACAGCAATGACCCTTGCCACTTGCCTTTTGCAGTTTCAAAGAAGAAATATGATGACATACTAGAGAATATCTTCTCACTAATCTGTCTCTAAGGTCCAAAGATGCTGTGAAAAAGTGCACACAATTCCAGTTTTCTGACCTTTAACACTTGGAATATCCCAAGGTTGACTCCATAAATTTGTAAGGAAAGTTGACTCAGTTTATTTTAAATAGGAGGGTGTAGTGTTTCTACAAAGTCATACCCAGCATCTTTAATTTGAACTTCTCCATTTGTGAATGGTGGTTGTGCATATTGCACATATATGGTTTTAGAGCAAGGCCATTTAAGCCAGAAGGGACGTTTGCCATTAAGTACTTCTTTTTGTCACTGTAATTATAGGCACACAGGCATATGTATGAACATATATGGATATAATCCCTTCACATGTCACCTTGCGCATACCCTGCAATATCATGCTGTTGCACATCACTAAGACAGCACCAAGCTCACCATTCTCCCAATGATCTCTAAGTCCCACACTCCCCTACGTATCACATATACCTTTATCCACTTCCATTCTCTTTATCACAATAGCCCCCAATTCTCCACCCCTGAGCACCCCAACAACTTCATACTTTTCCTTGTCCTTCTAAATCCAGTGGTTCTCAGCATTCCTAAAGCTTTGACCCTTTAATACAGTTCTTCATGTTGTAATGACTGCAAACCATAAACTTAGTTTTATTGCTTCTTCATAAATGCAATTTTATTACTGTTGTGAATTGTAATATAAATATCTGATCTGCAGGATGGTCTTAGGTAATCTCCACAAAAGAGTTGTTAGGCTCCCAAAAAAGTCACAACTCACAGATTGAGAGATGCTGCTTTAAACCTATCCTACCTCCATAATGTTCATATAATGCTATCTTTCCTCTTTGGTTCCTAGCATATGTTCCCAAATCTCTTTCGTGTCTATATACCCTCACACACCAATCCTCTGTAGCTTTTTACCTCAATCCCTTACCGAGTGGGACTCCGTGATGTATGTGAGCCCTTTTGCTTTGGTAAAACCTTTTGTCCCTATTTGGTAATCCTATGGTTTTGAGAATTTCTGAGGCTTTACTTCCCTTTGAATGACTCTAGCAATTTTAAACATATAAATTTCAATTGATGATTGGTGATTGTCCTTAGTTTGGTTATCTCCATGGCAATTGTGTATGGCCATTTTGCATTGCCTTTAACTATCATGGACTTTTCCATGCTGAAATTCCCACTGTGGATATTGGTCTAAGAGTGACCATTTCTAGGCAGCCTTGCTTTGGTATGGGTGCTGGAGTCAACAGTCTGTTTAGAAATAGGAAGATGGGCCCTTCTTAGCTTATAATAATGTTTGAGTCATTTTGTTTCTTTATGACATTCATTTTTTAACTGGATGGTTTTATTACCAATAACTACTTTTAGAAGATTGATTTATTTTCATTGCATCAGCAATATTAATTTTTTTGAGTCTTGTGTATTTTAGAGCTTTCAAATAAATTATTTCAAGAAACAATACTGTTTTCTATTCCAATGAACAAAGATTAGGTTGAAATATGTGACTTTTCATAATACATATATATATATATGCATAGTATTTACCCAGTTTCTCATGGAAAAACTCAAAAAGCACATTCTTTAGGACAACTGACAGTTCAATGACTTATTTGAATATGTTGTAGCAAGAAGCTCAGTGCTCCAAAAGTACTATCAAGAAGCTGAAATGATGGGGCTTGGAGAGAGGCTTAGTGGTTAAAGCACTGGCTGCTGAGCAAAGGACCAGTGTTCATGGCAATTCACAACCCCCTGTAGCCCAGATTACAGGAGAACTAGGGCCCTCTTCTAATTTCTACCAGTTCCAGGTACATATATGGTGCACACATATATACACCCAAACTAAGCTCTCAAACCCATAAAATGAACCCATTTCGTTCTTAACCTCTTTTCCTACCAATGCTTTGAGTATACAAAGAATTCTTTTCTACAGTTTTTATACATACAAAATGAATGGATTTTTATTTTAAAAGTCTCATTTCAACAACAACAACAACAACCACAACAACAGCAGCAGGAAATAGGAAACACTACTACAGTAGCTTTAAGCTGTTTGATTATAGGCCACTAGTAAACATTAAGTGCCTCCTACATTTTAAATATACAGAGTATACAAATCTTTTATTATATTTATATCTTTTTGTAAATCAGAAAACTTAATCAGGTTGGCATAAGGCTGAAATATCTTAATGAAAATGATATTTTGTAAAAGTAAGTAATTATATCTTTAAAGAGAGCATTATGGTTATCTTGTACCTTACTAAATTTTTTATTAAGAATGTTACAACTAATTATTTGTCATTGTTGTTACAATAATTTATTCCTTAGGAATACAACAACCCAAGGGTCTCTAGGTTCAGCAGGCTTTTTACTTAGCGTTGACATCTGTCACCGGTGATGCGCACACTCTGCAATGCTCTATCGATACACCTGGAATGAATCCACTGTTGACTCTTTTTGTTAAATCACGATGTCCATATTTTCACTTCCATATACCAGTTTTTCAAAGGTTTATGCAAAAATATACTCAGCAGGTTTTCATCTTAACTGGTGTTGGTCCCTAGAAGCTAATCTGAAAGCTGAGCACTTTAGTATTTTAAAGGAATATATGTATATATTAAAGGAATATTTATCCGTAATATGTATCTATTAAAGGAATATATGTATATTGTATATATGTACACGTATACATTCATTTAAATATATAAATATAAAATGATATAAATATTTAATGCTAAAAATAATATATATATATTTAAAATTAGCTTATTCTCTTCTTGTAGGATTGGTTGGGAACTTTTATTTTCAAGTTTAAATTGCAAGGCTCTCTGAATATTTTTAGATTCTGGTAACAAAACTCACATACAGTAAAAACATTTTCAGATATATATTTTCAGTATTCTCACTTTGAAATACTTTCTCAGAATTGCTAAAAAGTCACTTTGGGAGATGGGAAGGTATCTCAGTAGTTACAGTGCACACTGATCTTACAGAGAACCAGAGTCTGGTTCCTAGCACCCATATCCGGAGCTTTGCAGCTGCCTCTAAGCTCAGTACCCTCTCTTGAATTCAGCAGGCACTTGACATTTTTAAATATGTATCTTTATTTTCTTAATTATGTATATATGTGTATGCCTGTGTGAGAATATGTGTATATATGACTATAAGTGCCTGCTGAATGTCAAGCTAGGTGGTGGTGGCGCACACCTTTAATCCCAGCACTTGGGAGGCAGAGACAGGTGATCTCTTCACACATGTAACACACAGGCATGCACACACACACACACACACACACACACACACGTCACAGATAGCATCCCAACATCCCTCCTTAATGGGATGTCTTAGGTTGGAGTCTGTCTGTAACTCCACATAATTTTAGTTAGAAAATATGCTTTAAAAAGATAAGAATAGGTATTATTTAGTTGATGAGAAGAGGAATTTAATGCAAAGATATAAAGAAAGCAGTACTTGGCCATTCCCTTTTGGAAATGCTTGCTTTTAGAACATAACTTAGTCTCTTGAGCATAACAGGATTTACAGTGCTTTCCCAGAGATCTTTAGCTTAATTTCCAACTTAGTGAGAAATTTGGAAGCAGCTGCTTACAGTTCTCATCTTACATGCCCTGTTGTACCAGGGCTCTTGTCCTCTCTGGAATTTTTAGAAAAATAGTTCTACTTCTATAGTTGTGCTGTCTATTGTGAGAGGCACTAGCCATATGCATATGTGGCTACTAATTTTAATATATAATAGATAAAATTAAATACAAATGAAAATTTCAAGTAAATGGCCTCCCCTTCAAGCATCTCACAGCTGCTTGTCCCAGTGACTACCATGTAGAACGGGGAGGTGGCCAGCCAGCTCTAGAAGATGATCTAGCTCATAGTATAGAGGTGACACGTAGGTTTGAAAGGCTTTCAAATCTTTGAATTGCTGGGCAGTGGTGGTACACACCTTTAATCCCAGCACTTGGGAGACAGAGACAGGCAGATCTCTGTGAGTTCAAGGATAGCCTGGTCTACAGAGTGAGCTCCAGAACAGCTTCAAAGTTACAGAGAAACCTTGTTTCGAAAAAAAATTCAAATATTTGAGTTTCTATGAACAACCCAATCAGTAATATTGCCTTCCAATTTAATGAGGGACACACTAAGGACAAGCTTGAAACGAATATTGGCTTCTGAAATCTTCGCGACAGCTACTGTATTAGCTTGGTGGAAAAGAAGTGAGATCAGAACCAGGCAGGGCAGCTTGTGCTGTAATCCTGGGAGTCAGGAATTTGGGGTAAAACCTTGTCCCAGAGAAAAATAAATGAAGCGAAAACCCTTGCACACTGGTTTTTACATGCCATTATATCAC